CGGCGGTTGTGGAGGACGACAGACAAACGCTGCATCTGCAGCCCGTGCCAATTCTTTGTTGTCCATGTGACCTCGTCCAGGTGCTGAGCATGCGAAAGTTTGTTGCTCAGCTGGATCGCCGCCTCCCTCAGGGTGCTGCGAACCTCTGCCTTGCCCCACAGGCAAAAGACTGCCGCCAAGCTGGCGCAGCTCTGCTTCACTTGCATTGGCTTCCCTCTGGGGCTGCTCCTCGGCTTCAGCTTTGGGCTAGGCGTTCAGGGATTTGTGGCAGGGCAAGCTGCAGATCTGGCGGGGCTTGCACAGGGGCGAGGGGGGGTCGTCAGACCGGCAAGAGCGAACAATGATTCTCTCCCGCTTCCTCTGCGCAGGACGGGTATTATACACCGCTGCGGTCATGTCCAGCATTGCCCGGACAGATTGGTCCACTCAGTGCACTCTTGCATCAGAGCGTGTGACTCGGCTAACGCAATGAGTGAGCGCTCTCTAAGAGTCAGTCATTTCGAGCTTCGACCTCTCTCGCTGTCACTCTCTTGCCTCACTTTTCCAAGAAAGAAAAAAGAGAAAAGACAGCTGCTCACCCGCTGCACGATCCACGCTACACTGGCCAAGCACGGCTCTCACATAAACGCACAACCCTGGGCTCTAGGTTCCCTTTGGGGCGTGCTGTGAATAAACAGCGAAGAAGACGCCTGAGTCGACCCGTAGGGATACCCGGACAGTTGTAGAGCGGAGGAAGCATCAGCCACTGCTGCACGCCTTCCCTGCCTGCCTTCGCAGCGTTGGTCATGACATCGACGAATGGAGCCTTTGCGTTTGCTCTTGTGGTCCTGATGCTCGGCCTCGTTTCGGTTGACAACGTGCCGACCAACGCACAGCAAGAGTGTCTCTCTGGCGTTGGCGAGAATGACAGTACCCTTCTTGCGGTGCTTGGCGTCCTCTCGCACGCACCACAGCAGCGACTTCGCGATGCGTGGCGGCGCCACATTTTGCCGGTCGCTTCGCCCGACATTGCCGTCCGCTTTGTCATGCGCGGCTTCGGTGTTCCCACTCATGTGAACCTCGAGGCGAAGACGCACGGCGATGTTATTTTGCTCCGAGCGAATTCGTCCTTGCCGCGAGGGACGGGACCGTTGGTCTCTCTAAGGCTCTGGTATTCGTGCGCGTTGTCTGCCTTTCCGCAGGCGGCGTACGTTGGCAAGGCGGACGACGATACCTTTGTGCACTTGCCGAGCATTTCTCGCCAGCTCCAAGCTCTCCCACCCGACACGCCAACGTACTGGGGCAACTTTGAGTGCTATCACTGGAACATGACGCGGCAGACACCGACTTGGTTCTGCTTCGACTATCCGCGCGGCACTGGCAGCTGTCGGATGAACCAGCAGGTGCTAGGACCCTTTGCCTTTGCAAAGGGCGCCTTGAACTTTCTAAGCCAGAGTCTTGCTCGGCACCTGGTCCGCAGTAAACTAGCAGCCAACAGTGCATCCGCAGCCGTTCGCACCTTTGCCGAATATGAGCAGATTACGCGCGGGCGCGAGTGCGGCCACTGCCTGCCTTTCGAAGATGTGTGGACAGGGGCTGCGATCGCGCGCCTGACAGAGCTGCCAAGCTTGCGCCTGGTCTCGTCGCCTCCCACCAGTGCTATCGTCCATTTGAAGGACAAGGCCAGCGCAAAAGAGTTTGAAGCCTGGTCGCACGTCGCATCAAGGAGGAGCCACTGCGATGCAGCCACCATCAACACCTCTTCCATGTGCACTATCCACCCCGCACGCACCTGTGGCGGGGCTGAGCAGCAATTTTGCAGAGGCACCCCTCAGCATCCCTTGCGTGGCTCTTGCCCGGGCGACGAGCTGTACGAGGCTGAGCCCTGCAAAGATAACAAGCACACCAACGGGTGGTGCTTGCCCAAAAGGAGGCTGTGCACAGCCAATGAACGCGATTTCGTAACGCAACGCTGCCGCGCAACTTGCGGGAGGTGCACCCCGCATGTGACATGGATCGATGGGCTTCAGCGATGGGTTCAGGCCAAATCTGCCCAGGCTGCGTTCAATGCTTCACTTTAGCGATCGCGCCCACATCGCTCGTGCGTAGGGTAGCGGAGAGGGCGGCGGCGGCGGGGGAGGCAGCAAGGGAGGCGGAGAGGGCGGCGGCGGCGAGGGAGACGGCGAGGGAGGCGAGAAGGGCGGCGGCGGCGAGGGAGGCGAGGGAGGCGGAGAGGGCGGTGGCGGCGAGGGAGGCGGCGGGGGAGGTGGGCTCGGCGGAGGCGGTGAGGGAGGCGGCGAGGGAGGCGGAGAGGGCGGCGGGCTCGGCGGAGTCGGCGAGGGAGGCGGCGAGGGAGGCAGAGAGGGCGGCGGCGACGAGGGAGGCGGCGGGGAGGCGGGCTCGGTGGCGGCGCCCACCGAGGTGGCGGGGGGGGCGGAGAGGGCAGTGGCGGCGAGGGAGGCGGCGGAAGGCGGGGAGGGCGGCGGCGGCCGGGGAGGCGGCGAGAGAGGCGGAGAGGGCGGCGGCGGTGGGGGAGGCGACGAGGGGGGCGGAGGGGGCGGCGAAGGGGGGGGTGGCGGAGGGGGGGGGCGGCGGAGAGGCGGGCGTCGGAGGGGGGGATGGCGGGAGGGAGGGGGGTGGCGAGGCGGGGGGCGGCGAGGGAGGGGGCGGCGGGGGGGGGGGTGGCGGATGGGGGGGCGGCGGGAACGGCGGGGGGGGACCCGGTGGCCCGGCAGCACCTTCGCGGTGAATTCTTTTTATTACAATGAACTCGGTGGCACAGCACTCGGTACACGGGTACACCAAAAGGCACGGGCTGCCTGCACGGCGGGCAAACCCCGCAAAAAGTGACCCGTTTTTACCCACGCCCACGCCCGGTGCACGGCCCGGCCGGGGGTTGTGTGTACGGTTGCTGTAAGTATGTAAGACCACCTATATGTGGCATTCGCGCTAACGCGGAAACATATCGCGCCCCTCCGTTCGTCGGGACCGTCGTGCGCTGCCCTGCTTCGGGACCGTCGTGCGCTGCCGCTGCGTCGGGACCGGCGTGCCCTGCCGCTGCGCCCGGTGATCCTCGCCATCCGCATCGCCCACCGCGACGCGTCCGTCGTCCACTTTGCATGCATGATGGCTTTGCGCCACCTCCCATCCGATGGGATGGACATGCGCTGTGCCACCTTTGCATGCATGATGGCCGGCTCTCTCTGTGCGGGTGTGCGGCACCGTCCGCAGAGCCGGCGAAGGCAACAGCCCACGCGCACCTCGTCACAGGTCACAGCTTGAGGCGACGCACGCTCACGATGGACACGGACACCTTGCGGCCGTAGCTCAAGGCGCACGGATACACGGGCCCAGTGATGCCCTTTGCCTTGTGTGGCACCTCCACGCCGTCGATGAAGAAGGTCACCTGCCCCGCCGCCATGTCCACGAGCATGCGCGCCTCCGCGCCAATGGGGAACTCGTAGCCACGCGGTGTCAACCCCTCCTTGTGGTTCTCGCTGTACACCATCCTATGGAAGCGACGCAGCCACCAGACATTAGGCATGCCATTGGAGTTGCTCTCAAGGCGGTCGCAATTGTCTCTGACGATGCCGAAGCCCGAAACTGCAGCCGAGAGATCGGCGCCGTCCTCGGTCAGTTTGAAGACGACCTCGTAGGTGCCCGAAGCGATCAGCGTGTCGACGCGCACGAGACCCTTCTGCGTGGTCATCGTCTCGCCAGCGGCCGAGACGTTCGCTGCATCGTGGCCCTCGAGCACCCACTTGGGGTTGAGCGGCCCGCCGGTTCGGGGCGTGGTGCGCGGCGTGGCGGCGCCAAAGGACTTTTCCTTCATCGCCTGGGCGAGCACCTTGAACGCGGCGGCCGTGTTCATGAGCGGCTCGGTCTCCACGTGCTCGGTGAGAAAGTCGGCGCTCATCGTCGAGAAGCGAACGTGTTCGAGCAGCGCGGCGACCGTGCTCTCCTCCCGCACCGCCGGCGCCTGCGCGCGCAGCCAGCGGACCAGCGCGGTGAAGACGGCGGCCTCGTCGGCCTCGACCTCGTCACTGGCGAGCAGCGCAGAGAGCATCTCGTGGCTCAGCTGCACAAAGTCGTCGGTCGCCGCGACGTCCGCAAAGTGCTTGAGCGTGTGCTGCCGGGCCGTGGCCGCCAGCTCGGGCAGGCTGGCGCGGTCCGCAAAGATCCACGTGCTCAGCGCGTTTGCCACGGAGATGCGCTCCTTGAGCGCCGCCGTGAGCGCCTCGGCCAGCGGTGCCACCTGCAGACGCGACGCCGCCTCGAGCAGAGGCACCAGCAGCTCCTCGGGAACGTTGCAGCTGCCCTCGTAGATGAAGGAAAGCACGCCTTCGAAGACCGACGCCTTCATGTCCTTGAGCTGGTGCTCGGCGCTGTCGGCGAAGCGGTCGCCGGGCAGCAGGGCGCGGAAGTAGTCCGACGCTGCCGCGAGCTTGAGCTTGTGCACGGCAAACGCGGAGCCGTCGACCGTCACCGTGAGATCGCACAGCTCGCCCGCGCGCCACATCGCAGCCTCCGCCTGGAGTTGCGGATTGTCCACGTCGTGCGACGTTTTGAGAGCGACCAATGGTGCCGACGAGGCAGCGGCCGCGTCGGCGCGAGCGCGCTTGCGTGGTGGCATATCGGCCGCGCGCACGCAGCAGAGCGCGGCGCTCGCTCGCACGGCCTCTTCACGTAAACGCACAACCCCGGACCCGAAATCTTCACAGGAAAATCCTGTGAAGGAAAGCGGAGAAAAAAACAGAAGCCTTTTCTTTCTGCAGCGCCTTGCACAACCCCACATAAGCGGGTTCACGCGGATCGTGTGTGCGCGTGCGTCACGCTCGACGCGACGACGGACGACGCTGTCCGGAGATCCGGCGGAAACATGGCCGACGGTGTGTGTGTGTGCTGTGTCACGCGCACGCCCGAAGCGCGAACTAGGGAGAGGAGGGCACATAACATACTTTAAAGGTGGACAGGTGGAGAGAAAAAGAAATTTAGCGCGACTGGCAAAATCGCACAGCGCGTCAGCCCACGTGGCCAACGACGAACCTCGGGAGTGCATCGTCGCTGGCATTAGGTCGCATTAGCCACCGCACGTCCGCCGCCAGCCGAGCAAGGATGCTCCGCGCCGTTATGGCCTTGCGGAGCGCTCTCAGGTCGGCGCACCGCACCGGCTGCGCGCGGACCTCTGCTTGCAACGCCTGCTCGCCCATTGAGAGGAATCGCCTCGCTGGCACGGTGACCGAGGCCCGCTGCCACAGCCCTGTCAGCCTCGGGACCTATCAGGGCTTCCCACAAGATCAACCTCAAGGATCACCGTTTGCCGCGCGCGTCTCAGTGGGTCGCCGGAATGCGCTCACTCAGCAGGACCGGGATGCAGAGCTGCATCACAGCGTCGTACACCTAGGCAGGGATGGCGTGCGCGTGGTGTAGCGGCGGTCGGGAAGGCGTGGGCAGCGCGTCGAATCACCCTGCTCGAGTCCGGCGAGTCGCCCTCCGGGACGAGGCAGAACTGCGCCGCCGCCATCTCTCGCCGCATCACCCCCTTTGCGTGCTGGCCAAACTTCTGATCGGCCTCATCCCCCCCGCCCACCCCGAGACCGTTGACGCAGCGCAAAGAGGGAGGCGCGGAGCGCTGGCCGGTGGGATCCGGGGGGAGAGAGGCCTTGTTCAAACTCCGCCCCGCGCGCGCAGCCGGTATGGCGGGCCGGTCAACGGCCACGTACCCAGCACCTCGCTTTGGCAAGCACGGCTTGCCCGGGGGAACGCAATCGCACCAGCCGTCCTTGCCAAACGAGAAGCTGTGGCCACATCTCGGATTCGCGGCCACTGCGCGCGAGCAATCCGCCATCGACTTGAGGCTAACCGACTCGGAGCAGGCGCCCCCCTTGCAAGCTCGGTTATAGCAGAAGCGGTCCTGCAGGGATGACGCCGCAAGACTTGTCTCGGCCAGAGACGCGCCCCTCGCTGCTGCTGGCACGTCTCTCTTGTACCCGCAGGCTCGGAAGCTGGGGAAGACGCGCATCTTGCCGCTGCTGTTCTGCTTGCCAAGCCTCACGATCCAGCGGCGCACGATGGTCGCGTTGCGGTTGGCCACTGACGGACTGCCTGCCCAGTAGATGCTACCGTCGCTCCTGCAATCGTCGCTGTACGACTCGTTGCCTACAGAGCGAACAGCTGCGCCTGAGTGCGTTCTCACGGCGCTCTTGAGCGCCATTCTCACGCGTGACCAGCGTGGTACGGCACGACGACGACGCGGTCCGAGGCCGACGCGGGTTTGGAGCGCTCCATGTGTGCGAGTTGCACAAGATTTGGCCGTGACTGCAGCCACGCGTAGAGCTCGTCAAAGAGGGAGTGCTGCATGACGCAGGTGCAGGTCAGGACGGCGGGCTTGGAGATCCCGGCAGCCTCCATCTCCCGCCGCAGCATCCTTAGCCGCTCGTCGTGCCCTGTCCAGCCTTTGCCTCGGGTGCCGTCGGGCAGGCGACAGCTCTTTGGCATGTGCACGCTGATGAATGGCAGGAAAGGGAAGAGAATGAAGGCGGCTTGAGAGAGGTTGTAGGTGCGCCGCTGGTGATGCGTGGCCGCACGGAAGATGTCAGCCTCAAACATCCACTGCGAAGTGGCTTTGAGGAGCTCCTGGTCATCGAGGCAGGCGAGGACATACTCCGACTGCCGCTCGATGGCCTCGTTGACGAAGAACATGCCGGAGTCGTGCATGGCCTCAGTCCTGCGAGTGCGCAATGCGACGGCCATATTCCATTGCCAAATTTGTCGGGTAAAATAATTGGCGAGAATTTTCTCTGTAGGTGTATGGTCGGCACCAAAATCAGTGGTCTCACCGGCGGGCCCTCCTACTGCCAACCGGGCTCGAAGGCGCGGTGAACACAACCGCCTCGAGCGTACGCTCAAACACGAGCCGAGCAGGGTGGAGGGGGGGCGGCGCGGGCGAAGAGGCGGGAGAGCTGGGTCCGTGCGCTCTGCTGCTGGGGGTCGGGACCCCCCCCCCCAGCAGCAGCGCTCTGCTGCTGGGGGGGTCAGACCCCCCCCCCTAGCAGCAGGGATGGCTTTAGATGTGCAGGGGGGTACCGAGCAATGTGCGGCCGCTCCGTCCTCCGAACCAGTTCGCAGTTGCTGCCCAAGAAGCTCGAGGCGTGGGCGAACGAGCCGCCCCTCAATGGGGCAGGGGCGACCATGGACCAATGCGATCTCGGAGGAAGAGTGGAGCGACAATGAGGATGAGTAACCTGGTTTGTGGAGCTCCCGCAACTGTCCTGACAGTCCTGACAGAGTCCTGACAGAGTCCTGACATAGTCCTGACAGAGTCCTGACAGAGTCCTGACAGAGTCCTGGCGGGGTCCTGACGGCGCACGGTCTTCACAGTGCTCACAAGTGCCTCCGAAGAGACTTCCACCTTTTCCTTCACTGCAACCCTCCTTCCCCTCCCCCCCAGCAGTGAATGATAGACGCCCAGCCCCCCTTTCGACCGTGCGCGCCCTCTGCGGAATCGTCCTGATGGGGCAGTCCTGACGCAAAACTTGAGAGTCCTGACAAGCAAACTTGAGAGTCCTGACAGAAACTTGAGAGTCCTGACAGAAACTTAGAGTCCTGACAGACAAAAGAAATCACTCTGGGTCTCGCGCCACTCGGCCGACCATGAAAAGCGCACAAGCAAGAGAGGCGCGGCCATGGTGCAGGCAACGTTACAGCCGGCAACGTGCATAGGCAGCAAAGCTCGGCCACGACGTCCATGGCCCGAGCGCCCCCGATTTGCCACCGGCAACCTGCAGGCCAGCGCCGAGCAGCGGACTGACTGACTGCTGACCGAGGCAGCGCCCACGGCAGCGCCCACGGCAGCGCCCACAGCAGCACCCACGGCAGCACCCACGGCAGCGCACACGGCTTGGCTGGCCATGTCAGCCGCGCAGGGACCCTCCCGCGGGTCCAACCCGAAGCGCTCGACCGCTCGACAGCGCAAGTCGGCTGACGGAGCGAGCCGCATAGCCCTCCAGTGCTCACCGCAGGATCAGGCCTGACCGGCCCACGCTCACGGCCTGGCCTGCCTGTGGACCAGCAAACTCGTTGGCTGTACGCGAGGAAAGAGCTGCGTGGCTGGGTCGATACCGTCCCCGTGCGCCCTTTCCCTCAGTGGAGGGCCGTCCCTGCCCTCGGGAGTAACTCGACTGTACACCCCTCCCTACTCTCTAGCTAAGGGCTCTATTCACAGCGGGGACAGTGGTTGTCCTGGCGGAGTCCTGACGGAGTCCTGACAGAGTCCTGACGGAGTCCTGACAGAGTCCTGACAGAGTCCTGACAGAGTCCTGACGGAGTCCTGACAGAGTCCTGACGGAGTCCTGACAGAGTCCTGACGGCCTATTTTGGAGTTTTTCAACTTTGAGGTATTGTAACTATGTGAAGGCACTATGAATGCATCAGTTCTTTGGGAGAGTGCAATCCATTTAGTTATTACCTCCAACTCAAAAAAAGTCTGGTGGCAAACGGGCAATGGGGTCCCTTATGGTGGCCTCTAAGGGTAAGTTGCGGGAGCTCCACAAACCAGGTTGAGTAGAGCGGCCGATGTGGGCCCTCTCGGGTCGGATTGTCCGACTGAAAAGAAAAAAAACGCTGCGCAGCGCGCACAGACACCACAGTCTCAGCGCGAGAGAGAGTCACCCGAGTCACTGACTTTGAGTCAGCCGAAAGAGTGGAACATATTGCATCAAGAGTCTGCAGTTTTCTAATAGAGACCTCTTGCCCTGGCGCACGCGTGACAAAATCTAAGTGGTCGCCCCTTCCCTGTGGCCGCAGCTTCTTAAACCTCGCCCCGATCTCACGCCGCCGTCTCACGCTACCGCCGCGCAGCCAGGCCGCTGGCACCCGCCGCCGCCGCCTCCTCCGCCGGCTCCTCGGCGAGGTCCTCCACCTCGAAGCAGGGCGAGTGGCCCGCCCCGAGCAGCCGCAGCCGCGACGCGTGGAAGGAGAGCAGCGACGGCCGGTGCCCCACCGAGACGTAGGTGATGCCGGGCACCGCCGCGAGCGCCTTTGGTGAGTACTTCTCATTGAGTCACGAATGAAAGACGTGGGCGGCTGCCGGCGCTTGCGGTCGCCTTGTACATGATCGCCTCGTTGTTGAGGTCGAGCGCCGACGTCGCCTCGTCCAGGATGGCGAGCCTTGGCTTGCTGACGAGCACGCGCGCGAAGGCGAGCCGCTGCTGCTCGCCCAAGCTGAGCTCGTCGCCCCAGTCGCGCACCGCGTCGAGCCCCTCGACACCTCGCTCCGCCAGCCGGTCGAGCTGCACCTATCCACTCTCACTCCCCCACCCTCACCCACTCGTCGCGAGCCAGTGTTTGCCTCCCCCCCAGAGCCGGGTGAGCTGCGCCGTCGCGAGGGCGTCGAGCAAGCTCCCGTCCGTGCCGAGGCTGCTCCCCCTCGCCCACTCGTCGACAGTCCTCGGGTACACCAGCTGCTGCCTATTCACAGCTCTCTATTCACAGCTCTCCACTCGTCGACTCTCCTCGGGTACACCAGCTGCTGCCGCAGCGAGCCGAGCGTGCAGTACGGCCGCTGCGGCAGGAACATCGTGTCGGCGGTGTGCGGGCGAGCGATGTCGCCCGAACCGCGGTCCCACAGCCCCGCGACGGCGCGCCTGTGCACCGCGGGGGACCTGTGAAAGAGGCGCCGTTCTCAGCCGCTTGTCCCGCAGCCCCGCGACGGCGCGCAGCATCGACGACTTGCCGGTGCCGGAGTTGCCCATCACGAGGAGATGCCGCCCCGGCTGCACGTCCACAGACACGTTCGAGAAGAGGCGGCGCGAGCCTACGCCCCGTGCAATCTCGGACAACCTCGGACAGCGTCGGACGTCTCTTGGACCAGCCCCCGCGGAGGAGAGGCGGCGCCGTCCGGCGTAGACAGCGAGAGCTGGCGGACGGCCAACACGCCCCCGCCCGGGACAAGCCCCCCTTCGGCGTTGCGGACGCCACCGCGCGTCGGCGCGACGACACCCTCCAGCCGCAGCTCACCCTTCCTCCTCCGGGGAGGCGGCGGGGGCGCGCCTCCGCGGCCATACAGGACCCGCTCCCAAGCGGAGGGCGCCTAATCTCGCGCAATCTCGGGTGATCTCGCGCATCTCGGCCGATCTCGGGTGGTCTCTCCGCCGCGGAGGGCGCCTCGCCCCCTTCCGCAGCGGTCTGCGCCGCGGCGCCCGCCTCCGGTCCTGCGGGCGGGCCTCTGCGGCCGAACCTGGCGGCGAAGGGTCCGAGAAGGGTCCGAGAAGAACCCGAGGGGAGGGCGGCAGGGCGGGGCCTGCTGCGGCCGTACCGAAGCGCGTGCCAGAGGGAGGGGGTGCCTCCGCCCGCCTGTCCACAGCCTGAAGGTGTGAAGAGACGCCGCTCGCAGCGTGCCGCAGGGAGGGGGATGCCACGCGGCCGCCTCGGCCGAGGCCGCTGCTTCGGCCAGCTGGAAAGTGGCTGGCGAGGAGGAGGAGGAGGAGGGGCCCTGGTACGCCTCCATGCGGTCCACGAAGGTGGCGAGGCGGCCGAGGCCGGCCGAGAAGGAGGAGAGGCCTAGAAAAGGAAGGAGGCGTCCGGAAAAAGAAAAGCAGAGGTGCGCGCTGCGCGAGGCGGAGGAGCGGTCCCTCGAACTGGTTGACGATGATGGAGAGGTCTCCGAGTACGTGGTTGAAGGCGCCTGAGTTGAAGTCACCAGCTCACTTAGACATGAGGGAGAGGTCGCCGAGGAGCGTGGCTGAAGGCGCCCGTCGACTGGGTGATCACGCCGAGCTCGACGGAGCCGGCAAAGTAGAGCGGCGACACGACGAGCACGGGCAGGATTTGGATCAGGTACGAGTACCCCACCGTGAAGAACTCGAGGTTGCGCTGCGTGCCTTCAGTACTCAGCCGCTTGACTTAACCAACTAGTCAATGAGTGAAGAACTCGAGGCTGCGCCGCGTGCCGAGGATCGCACGCTTGTTCTCGACGGCGCCGCCCAGTCGCGAGACCACCTCCTCCTCCTCCTGCGCCTCTCCGCGGTAGAAAGCGATCGACTCCGCATTCTCGCGCAGCCGCACGAGCGAGTAGCGCAGGTTCGCCTGCACTCTCCGGCACCCGTGCGCACTCGCGGACAATCTCCCGCCATCTCGGCAGACATCTCGCGCAATCTCGGGCTCGCCTCCCGCAGTAGCTGCTCGGCGTTTTGCCCGACGAGCGCCTTGCCCAACTTGACGGTGGTCAGAGTGCCGACGCCTAAAAGTGACTCGCGAGTGACCGAATGGGCCCTGCCCCCAGCCTGACGGCCGCCAGAGTCCCGACGCCGGCGTAGACAAAGATGGCGTAGAAGAGGTTGGGGTAGATGGAGTAGAGGATGCCGGAAAAGGAGACGAGATCGATTGCGGCGGTCATCAGCGTGATGAAGAAGTCGAGTGACACCTTGGACGCACCACGTGAGGAAGAGTGAGACATAGCACAGAAGAGAAGAGACACACAGTGGCGACGACGGCGAGGTGACCACCTTGGTGAAGGCCTGCACGTCCTCGGTCAGCCGCTGGTCCGGGTTGTCGATCTCGGGGTCGATCTCAAGCTTGTAGTACGCCTGCACCGGAGGCAAGGCTCGAGCGAGGGGAGGGAGGGAGGGGGGCGCCTCGAGTGGTCTCGAGCTTGCGGCGCGCCTTGTCGGTGCAGTACTGCCGAGACAGCTCCGTAGTCATCCACTCCCGCCTAGGGGAAGGTTCCGAGAAGGTGCCTGGAGGACGGGGTGCGACACCGGCATTCGCCTCGCGCGCCAGTTGAGGGCGAGGCGCTGGCGCTGGAACTTGTAGAGGACAGTGAGCGGCGTCGCCACGGCGAGCCCGACGGCGTAGTTGGACGTCTTCTCCAGGAAGAGCGCCTGGTCCTTTGCTGAGAGCGCCGAGTAGAAGTCGCGGCCGACGTACGAAAAGATGACCGAGATGCCGCTGTTGATGAGGACGAGGAGCAGCATCAGACCAAAGTTCAGCTTCGCGCCCTCCGCGTTCTGAAAGTAGGGCATGGCCAGCCGCCAGAAGAGGCGCAGCCGCTCCTGGACTGTATCCTCACGTGCTGGTGCCGCGTGCTCCTCGCGCCGCTCCGTCGCCACCGGCTCGGAGCAGCGCGGCTGAGCCAAGGCATGGTGCGGGCGGGAGACGAGAGGCTGTCTGCTGAGGGTTAAGCTCGCGCCCGGCGAAACGCAGAGAAGCGCGATCGCAAAGGCACCGGATCGCATCGCAGAACGAGAAATTCTCGTTGTCGTAAAATTCTTTTTTTGTGGTACAAGTCACCCCATCGAGGTACTGGGCCCGCGTCAGCTTGTTCTGTAGCACGTTCGCCGCCTTCCGGAGGATCTCGCCGACCCCCTTCCCGAACCCACCAAACGACTCGAACAGCAGCAGCTGCACATGCTCTCACATGCACATGCACATGCACATGTGCATGTGCATGTGAGATCGCTCGAGTGTGTCATTGACGCTGCCTTTTATCTCAACTCAAGACACAGAGAGAGCCGCCACCATAGAATGAGGGTTAGGTTTCTGTGGAGCCTCAGGTGCTTTTACGCTTTTGATCGGGTCAGGGGAGAGTTTTGGCTTTTGCCCCGGGCGGGCCCACTTTTGTCGTCGTGTTTTGCCCCAAATCTACGCGGCCGGCCGTGCTTTAGCGTTTTGGTTTTGACCCAAATCGGCCGAACTTTTAGGATACCCTCAGACTATGGCCGCCACGCAGGCATACAGGGCCGACCTGCCCTGGGAGGAACTAGATCCTCATGACGCGACCCTCAGGGTAACCGCCCCACGAGAAGCGCAACCGCTCTCGCCACGGCGAGCGGTCCCGCCTAGAGGCACGGGAGCTGCGAGCTGGCCGCGCCTCTGCCGCGTCCAAGACGCTCCAGCTTCCGTCGGCGGGCGCGACCTCCTCGTGGTCGCCGATGATCCGGGTGTCAGAGCGGGGTGTCTTCAAGACCGGGGACCTGGGAGTGCCCTCAGGGTCGCTGCTCCGGGTGTCAGAGCGGGGTGTCTTCAAGACCGGGGACCTGGGAGTGCCCTCAGGGTCGCTGCTCCGGGTGTCAGAGCGGGGTGTCTTCAAGACCGGGGACCTGGGAGTGCCCTCAGGGTCGCTGCTACTTCCATCTGTGCGTGGCGTCTTGAGGCGAGACTTGAAGCGAGAAGGCGTGCCCTCGCCGCTAGCCGAGCCCGGTGTGTGCGGTGACGCCGCCTCGACGTGATGGTTGTTGGTTAGAGGATGCCAGCGTCGCCTGCGCCGGTGAAGGTAGCAAACGATGCAGCAGCACAGGAGCAAGATGATCAGGCATGTCACAATCAGTGCAACCTCAAGGCCGCTCAAGCGTTTGTCGCGCCTTTCCGGATTTTGGCCTGGCCCATCAGGATCGCCATTCTGGTCGATGAGCGGGGGTGGGCTGCTTGGGGGCGGCAAGGACCGCGGTGTCTTGAGGTGCGTCGAGTCGGGAGGTCCCTTTGTCCCTTCGGAGAGTCGACGGCTCGACGGCGCGAGCGTGCAGCTCGTCCCGCGAAAGAGGGTGCAGAGAGCACCGCGCACCTCGAAGCCGCACGTCGTGTCGTCCTTGGTCGAGGCGTCGCAACATTTGCCGTCGTTGGCCACCAGGCTAGAGTCTGTGTAACCCGCGATGGTTTCGCCTGAGTAGCTGTTCTCGTGGCCGGAGCACGACAGGGGAGGCGGCGGCGGCCTCGGACCCTTGCCGGGAGGGTGAGGCGGTGGCATGGGCGCCTTGCCAGGGGGATGCGGCGGCGACGGCGGCGGCGACGGCGGCGAGGGCGGCGACGGAGGCGGCGAGGGCGGCGAAGGCGGAGGCGACGGCGACGGCGGCGGAGAGGGCGGTGGCGGCGGCGGTGTCGGTGGAGAAGGCAGGGACGGTGGCGACGGCGGCGACGGCGGCGACGGCGGCGGCGAGGGCGGCGAAGGCGGAGGCGGAAGCGACGGCGGCGGTGGTGACGGCGGCGGCGGTGGCGGCGGCGTGGGTGGCGAGGGGGGCGGAGAGGGTGGCGACGGAGGCGAGGGGGGCAACGGCGGCGGCAACGGCGGCGACGGCGGTGGCGGCGGCGACCTCGGCGGAGAGGGTGGTAAAGGCGGCGGCGAGGGCGGAGAGGGCAGGGAGGGCGGCGGCGGCGGCGAGGGCGGCGGAGAGGGTGGCGACGGCGGCGACGGCGGCGACGGAGGCGGCGACGGCGGCGAAGGCGGAGGCGACGGCGACGGCGGCGGAGAGGGCGGTGGCGGCGGTGGCGGCGGCGGCGGTGGCGACGGGGGCGGAGAGGGCGGCGACGGAGGCGAGGGTGGCAACGGCGGCGGCAGCGGCGGCGACGGCGGTGGCGGCGGCGACCTCGGCGGAGAGGGTGGTAAGGGCGGCGGCGAGGGCGGAGAGGGCGGCAAGGGCGGCGAGGGCGGCGAGGGCGGCGGCGGCGGCGGCGGCGGCGGCGGCGGCGGCGAGGGCGGCGGAGAGGGTGGCGACGGCGGCGACGGCGGCGACAGAGGCGGCGAGGGCGGCGAGGGCGGAGGCGACGGCGACGGCGGCGGGGAGGGCGGTGGCAGCGGTTGCGGCGGCGGCGGCGGCGCACTGCCGGGTGGAAAGGGCGGCGGCGGGCAGGCAGGATTGAAGAGGCCAAAGTGAACTTTCACGCAAGTGCTGTCGGGCACACAGTAGGACCACCAGTGAGATGCAACCTTCCCGACGGTGGCGGTGGGCGTGCAGTCCTCGGAGACGACTTCGCACCTGAGAGTGCGATTTGGCGGGAGGTCGCGGGTGCGTTCGGTGCGCATGTCGTGGTTGTTAGAGAGTGTGTAGTCTGTTGGGTGTGTTAGTAACGGCGAGTCGATGAAGTTGAGTGATGAGGGGCGAGAGGAGGGTATGTGTGTGTCGACGAAGAGGTGTTGAGACGAGGGGGCGCACACCACGGGTCGTCGCCGTCGCAGGACGTGGCCGGGCAGCCGAATTGGTTTGTGCACCGTGTATCGTACAGGTGCGCATCCCATTGGACGTCGCAGCGGCACGGCGGTGGTGGGGTTGGCGGCGGGCTCGGCGGCGCCGGCGGCCGTGGCGGAAGACGGGGTGGGATCGGAGGTGAAGGCGGCGTGGAGGGTGGCGACGGCGGCGATGGCGGCGACGGCGGCGGCGAGGGCGGCGAGGGCGGGGAAGGCGGAGGCGACGGTGGCGGCGCGCCGGGCGGCGCAATGGGCGCGGTGCAGTAGGTCCAGCCCCCCTGGCCGTGCGAGCCGTTGCAGCCCGGGTTGCTCACGGGGCACCACGTCCCTTGAGGATCTTCGTCACAGGGCACCCGCATGCAGCCGATTTGGTTGGTGCACCGCGGGTCGTGTTCCGCAGTCGACCAGTAGTCAAGGCACACACAGACCTGCCCGAGGCCCGTCAGGCTCAGAGACGGCATCGACGGGCTGTTGCAGTCAACCAGGACACACTGAGCGCCGTCCAGCACCCAGACTTGGATCTTCCGTTGTGCCTGCGGGTATCGAGGTCTCGTGAGTTTTGGCACTGATAAATTCGGCCCCGCCGCCCCGATCGCCGCCGCCGGGCTGCGGCGGCCTCGGCGGACCATCCGCGCCGCGCGCCCGACGGGGAGGTGTTCACCACTCCTGGCTCCTCACCCGCTCGGTCGGCCGCCCAAGTGCTTGGCTCGTGCCAAGCCGACCGGCAGGCGATGCCCATCGCTGCTAGGCTAATCTCGGGCAAGCGGCGGTGTGGTGCCGTGAAGGGCAGCGCCAGCTGTGCCAAAACTACGAGTCTCCGACTGCCGCTCACGAGTCTCCGACTGCCGCTCGGTAGTCGGTAAAGAGCTCGTATCCGCTGCCATTTCTGCCGCCGAGCTGAACAGCGGCGGTGAAGCACGGCCGGCTGTGTTACGACCGCGCCCGGCGCTGGAGAGTGCTCGAGAGCATCCGACATCGTCGGCCGCAGCGGCAGGGTCGGCCGAGGTGATTCAGTTTATGTGTAGGTCCGTCACCCGTTTGCCGTGATGCTCAGCGGCGGCGCCCACACCGGTGGGTTCACTCGAGACGGTCCGGCGCCAAGCAAAGAGGAGCGTCCGGTTACCAGAGCCTGATGTGTGGCGGTGTGCGGCCGATTGGGGTCGTGCGGGGCTGGTTAGGGTTGGCGGGAGGAGACATTGAAGGAACTTCGGCGACATGACGCTCGAACTTTCGACCGTTCTATCACTTTCACGCGCCCTGGGTCACAGCTTGCGAGAGGCGCCGCGACGCCCGGCCGCCTGAGATGCAAAAGTTTGCACACGCCATTCAAGCGCTGCAGGCATTGCGAGCACGCTGGTGCTCCTGCGTGCCGGCGCCAAGCTTCAATTGCCAAGGCTGACGCTGCATCACAACGTTGATCGCATGCGGTGCGCTTGTGGGAGCTGACGCGCCCAGCCAATCCAACGCCCCTAGCCATCGAGATAGCTCTGGGACCCTTTTACGGCACAGCAGCCATTTGCTATACTACTAGTATGATTCCTGTGCGTGCGCCGCAGGACGTGACCACCTTGCTGCGCTCAATGTTCGCGGCCGTGACGCCTCCCCGATGTGAGTCTTCCTCCCCACATAGCACCAGCACCAGTGCACTGCCACGACACTCTCCCTCAGTTCCAGCACTGGCGCCTCAGCCGTCTTCGCCCACCTCGTGCCGTTGCCGCCTTCCCCACCCCGCCAGCCCTTGCACACGCGTTTACACCATTGCGCCGGCAGGGCGCGGGCACACACTGTACGGCAGTCTTCGCTTGCCCACGCTGCTCAATTGGCTCAATCCCTCCCCACCTAGCTGCTGCCTCGCATCTCGCGCTGCTGGACGTGCGACTGCGGCCGCAGCGCAATGCATCGCTCGAGGGACGACCCCGGATACTGGGATACTGCGGGATACTACAGTATCCCAGTATTTGAGGCCTGCTGCGAATTTTCCTAGTATCTGGACAGCCGAAGTACTCGAGTAGAATTTAAACAAAAGAACTCTCTCTCACAGCACACAGACTCGACACAGGTCGGCGAACTAGCGCGTGCTAGTACTATCACCGGCACACCACCGGAGCCGCCTAAGCGACTCCGTTAAGAACGGCAATGCACTTAGCACCGTGCACAATGCCGCTGTCCCCGCACGCTAGCTCGTTCACCGTCTGCCACGCCACGGCGGTGTGGAGAACGACAGACAAGCGCTGCATCTGCAGCCCGTGCCAGTTCTTGGTGGTCCATGTGACCTCATCGAGGTGCCGAGCGTGCGAAAGTTTGTTACTCAGCTGGTCCGCCGCCTGCCGAAGAATTTCGCGGACGCCGTCCCCGAAGCCGCCGAACGTCTCGAAGTCGAGCAAACGCAGGTCGCAATTCTTCTCCCGCGCGAACCGGTATTCGCCCTTCTCGTAGCGGGCCGTCACAGGTGCCGCCCCCGCCTCCGCCTCCCCCTCACTCTCCCCCTCCTCCTCTTCCGCCGCCGCCGCCTCCGCCTCTGCATCCTCCGCCTCCCTCCCCCCCCTCCCCCCCCCCCTCCGGCCGCGGCCATGCAGCATGCCCAAGTACTCGAGTAGAAGTAAGAAAATACTGCAAGTCTCCTGGCATACTTAGGCCCATATTGCAATAGGACGTGCGCGCGCCCCTCCGGTGCGGGTCTCTGTCATGGCGGCCGAGCGCGTGCAGCTGGGTGGCATCGACTACACGGTGCAGTATCGTACCTCTGATGGGAAGCTCGACCTCAAAGACGTCCACGGCGCCGTCCTGTACGGCGTCGACCCTGCCACGGTCACGCCTTCTCCTACAGTCACGAGCCAGACGCACGCGGCCACGCCGATGGACGTCCTCAGCGACGGCACGTGGACGGTGCGGCACGAGGATGGGAGCACGGCGAGCATCACGCTCGCAGGGGGCGGGTGGACCGGCCACGACGGCTGGCAGTACCAGCTGGCCGGCCAGGGCAGCACCGTCTCCTTTCGGTGGAGCGACGGCACCCTCCAGACGCTCGCCGAGTGGGATGGATCCGCCGCCACCTGGAGCACGAGCCACCCGAGCTATCCGCGCATCGTGTGGGAGCGCGCGGGCGGCGGCGGCGGCGGCGGCGGCGGCTCGGCGGCGGCGCCGCTCACGGAGAGCGCGCGCATGATCGAAGTCGTCGCGGCCGCGTTCGGCAAGTACAAGGTCACGGCTGTGGGCGGCAGCACGCTGCGGCTCACGCACAAGGACAACGTGGCGACGGACGCCGGCGAGAACTGCATCTACCAGTGCTGCTGCGCCGGCTTCGCGCAGAACTACATCTGGGAGGTCGAGCTCGGCCCAAACGAGTGGGTCGTCACCGACGCATGCGACTTCCACATCTACACTCGAGTCTCGGATGGCGAGGTGCTCACCGAGCGAGCCGACGTGCAGGCCGTGGTCTCACGCCTGCGGAACGAGTATGCCCCCAAGCGCCCGCCCGCCGGCAGCGAGTCCTCCGCCCCTGTCGCCGTCGGCATCGTCGTGGTGCCCGATGCGATGCAGCGCGACGACGACGGCCCCGCCGCCTCGGCGGCGAAGCCCGCCGCCGACATCGCCGCCAAGCTCAGGGAGCTGACGGCGCTCAAGGAGAGCGGCGCGCTGACCGAGGAGGAGTTTGGGCTGGCGAAGGCCAAGGCGCTCGCCGAGTAGGAGAACCCGCCACGGCTTCGTGGCGAGCTTCGCGGCGAGCTTCGGGGCAGTGCGTCGCGCGCCCATGGATCCGGGGACGGCGCCCAGTCTCGGGCCTCGTCATACCATGCGTCATACGGCCTGAGGTCCTTCATCTACGTCTCCTCCTACGCCGCGCCTCCCACAGCTCAGCTCGCCGCGGAGAGTCTGTGGTGGTTGGGGCTCCATGTCGAGCGTGTAAATAAATAAAACGGACACCTCTACTAGGAGATGGGTAAAAAGGAACAGGTCCCCGCCCTTGCGATCTTTGTGCAGGGTTCTTTGTGGGTGTGGTCGGCGACTAGCCGGGGTCGTCCTCCCGATGGGGGACTAGCACTAGCCGTCTTCCACATGGTCCCTCGGGTCCCTGCTGCTCCTAATCTCTTCGTACATCCTCCTGCTGATCTCCGCAACGTCCTGCTCCCTCCCTCGTCTCGCCCTGCGCGACTGCTCCGCCTCACCGTCGTCTGCCCTGCGTCGTCTGGCGACTGGTCCTCCATAGTCGGTTGAGGTCGCCGCCCTCCTCGTGCCTCTTCCCATCGTTCCCTCGGCGGTCGATGCCGTCTGGTCCGCCTCCGCCGTCCCCGGGTCTGACCTGCCCTCGTCTGCACTAGCTTCTGTTTCGTCATCACTGGCGCCTCTCCTCTTCTTTCTCCTCTTCTTGTATGCTTTGTACATTGCGTCGATTCCTTTTCGCGTGAGCACCACCCTGAAGCTCGCCCAGCAGCGGAACCGCTCCCTAAGTCGAAGGAGCATCATCAGTCTCACCCACTTCGCTCGCTGCCCACTGTCTCCGCTCCCTCCCGCTTGAGCTGCCGTCGCGGTCCTCGTTCGTCCCACTGGACGCTCGTGGGTAGCGACGCGAAGCCGACAGCGTCTCCAAGCCGGCCGAGCCGTCCCATGTACTGCTCGTTCTTGCTCCACTGCGTCATGAGATGGTGGTGAGGGAAGCGGATCGTGGAAGTGCCGCCCTCGGCGGGGCTGACGATAGGGTTGGGCCGTCCACCCTTTGCGGCCTCTTTGTTGCCCTCATGGTTGCTCGCCTGTGGACACGCCGTGGACATGTCACCGACATACGGGACGGAGGAGGGAAGCACAAGTGCCTCGCGCCCAGTACGAGAAGTCGCGCACGTCCAAGTGGTCCGGGTGCACGTGCGTCCAGCAGTCATTGTCGACGGTGAGCGAGGCGCCGACGGTGTCTTCCGGGAGGCACTCGCGGCTGCTGTCGACGGTCACATCGCGGACATACGGGTTGGTCGTGTCGCTGCTGCCCGCGATAGCGTCGGCGATCGTGTCCCGCGTCGCCGTGTCGAGCGGCGAGTCAGCGTCGCACGGCCCGTCAGCAAATTCCCACCGCGTGGTTGCGGCAGAGCAGGGCGACTCGTCGTACGGCGCCTCGAGGCGAAGCCCCTTGACGACGTAGACGTACTTCCTGCTGCGCGTGTAGAAGGCGCGCAGCGTCGAAGCATTGAGCTGGAGCAGCTGACTACCAAACACGAGCGGGGCGCACGTCTCTTGCAGCTTGCACTTTCCGCGCGTCAAAAAGGTCTTTGCGACGTTAGGGCAGCCCGACTTGTAGGTCAGCTCCGACTCTGCGCCCGCAGCGGGGCTATCGAGCGTATTCTGCTCGAGGTGGAGGCGGCCATCAAACCGCCAGTACTCGCTCCCCTCAGTTCGGACGATAGAGGCCGTGCAAGGCGGCAGCGTCGGCTCGCCGACGAGAGCATCGAGGACAGCGGCGTCGGCGACGCCGGCGATGGGAGTGAGGGTCGCGCTCGATGCGGGGAGCAGGGGCGCGCGCGCCGTCGCCGTGCGCGTGCACGTCCTGGAGGTGGGCCACGAGCCACGCCCAGGTGAGGCAGACAGAGACGACGAGTGGGCAGAGCAGGAGCAGGAACTGACAGTGCCGCAGCAGCAGCTGCTGGTCCTATGCCTTGCCTATGGGTCTCTCCTGATTCAAGGCCCGCCAACGTAACCTATGCCTTGCCTATGGGTCTCTCCTGATTCAAGGCCCGCCAACGTAACCTATGCCTTGCCTATGGGTCTCTCCTGATTCAAGGCCCGCCAACGTAACCTATGCCTTGCCTATGGGTCTCTCCTGATTCCGAGGACCACGCTGACATGCCACACGAAACCTTGTCGCTGAAGTACTCGCTCTCGCTGCCGCCAGAGGAGCCAGGCACGATGGGACGGAAATGCGCAGCGGAAATGGCAGGCTCTGCGTGCGGGACGGTGGCGGCGGAGGGCTCGCTGCGAGAGTCGTGGCTGCTGCTGCCGGGGTCGCGTGCTTCTGGGGTCGGCTGATGGCTGCTGCTGGGGTGCACGCTCGGCAGAAGCGGCGTCAGCGCATCAGCGGCTGGAGCTCCGAGGCCTCGAGTCCGTGGGAGCGAAGCGTGGGAGGGGCCCGAGGCACGAGGCGCTTCGCTGCTCGACTCTGTCTCGGCGTCGGTAATTCCATCCTCGGAGGATGAGCTGTGCGTCGGAACCAGCATCCACGCTTGCTGCATCTCCAGGCGCCTCGACTCCTCGATCGCACCGAGGAGGTGCGCCTGCTGCTCCAGGAGAGCGGCCGTCGCAGCACCGAAGGGACGCGGAACGACGATGGCCAACAGCCAGCCCACGACATATGGTATCGTGGTAGCAGGCAGCAGCAGCGTTAGCGCGGAACGGTTGGTCGTGAGCGCGCACAACAGCGTGCTGTTCAGTCCGCGCAGTGCCAGGAAGGCGGTGATATACCCAGCGGCGTGCATGGGGTCGATTCGCTGTGCGCCCTGACCGGCGCCGAGCAGCAGCGTCCCCAAGGCCATCAGCCACCACAGGTGTAGTCTGCTGTCCAAGCTGACTGCCATCTCCTCCTTGCAGGCCTCGCCGTCGACCGCAAGGCTGAGGAACGCTACCCCTTGATGAAGCAGAGGTAACCAGCACACCGCGCTTGACGCAGCCGCTGTGAACCGCCGGGACAGCACCAGGTAGGCGTGCACGAGGAAGCCCAGGATCATCGCACCCAGCTGCAGTGTGTTGGAGAGCGGGACGTGCCCACGACGCCGCTGGTACGCATACATGACGGCAAAGAGAGGCATCGGCAAGAGCTGAACCGCCGTTTTCGTACATGCGGCATACGTGCGAAGCTCGCGCGCCGCACGAGACAGCTCGCCCCGCGCCGCAAAGTCGATCGGGATCGCCATGTCGGGGAATTCTCGGCGAAGTCAGGCGGCCCCGGCGGACAGCGTACCCGGGTACAGGAAAAAAGATACCGCATAATACACGACCCCGGCTAGTCGCCGACCACACCCACAAAGAACCCTGCACAAAGATCGCACGGGCGGGGGCCTGTTCCTTTTTACCCATCTCACAGTAGAGGTGTCCGTTTTTATTTATTTATTTAATACACGGCTTTTACACGGTAGCGCCGGTAGGGGGGATATTTTTCCAAAAATTCCCGCGATATCATGACCCATCGCGAAGGCTACCGGTACCGCGTACGCCGGCGTTAGCTAGACCTTTTTACAAGTACGTCCCACCATGAAAGCTAGTAGAGGCTAGCTCAGCCAGGCTCAGCTACAAACTGGGGGACAATATGGGCCTCCCACCACCGCCCCGCCACCTCCACTGCCAGCAGCAGCGCCACCAGCCGGCCCTTCCCTCTCTCCGCCAAGCAGCGCGTACTCAGCGTCCTCGCAAGGCATCGCCACGTGCAACGTCGGGAACTCGATCACCTAAAGAGCGATTCGTCAAGTATTCAGGCGGGGGTTGGTACTCCCTTCCGTGCAGCCGTCGACAGCGCAGGTCACCACGTGCGAGCGGAGCGACTCGCCCAGACTCGCGTCGAGCGGGAGCAGGACGAAGCGAGGGTCGTTGGC